GTTATTTAATAAATGTATGGAAGAGGGTAAGGTACCTAGGGATTGGCAGAGAGCATGCATAGTTCCTTTGTATAAAGGCAAAGGGGATAAATGAGAGTGTAAAAATTATAATGGGGAATAAGTCTATTTAGTATACCTGCTAAAGTGTATGGTAGTTATTATTGAAAGAAATAAGACTAAGACAGAGTAGGATAGCAGATGAACAAGGAGGCTTTAGGAAAGGTAAGGGGGTGTGTAGACCAAGTGTTTATAGTGAAACATATAGGTGAACAGTATTTAGATAAGAGTAAAGAGGTTTTTGTGGCATTTATGGATTTGGAAAAGGCATATGAAAAGGTGGATAGGGGGGGGGGAATGAGGCAGATGTTGCAGTGAAGAGTTTTTATGAGGATCGTGAGGCTCAGGTTAGAGTATGTAGGAAAGAAGGAAGTTATTTCCCAGTAAAAGTAGGCCTTAGACAAGGATATGTGATGTTACCGTGGCTGTTCAATATATTTATAGATGGGGTTGCAAGAGAAGTGAATGCGAGGATCTTGGCAAGAGGTGTGGAGTTAAAAGAAAAAGAATCAAACACAAAGTGGAAGTTGTCACAGTTGCTCTTTGCTGATGACATTGTGCTTTTGGGAAATTCTGAAGAGAAGTTGCAAAGGTTGGTGGATGAATTTGGTCGGATATGTAAAAGAAGAAAATTAAAAGTAAATATAGGAAAGAGTAAGGTCATAAGGATAACAAAACGATTAGGTGCCGAAAGATTGGATATTAGATTGGAGGGAGAGAGTATGGAAAAGGTGAATGTATTCAGATATTTAGGAGTGGACGTGTCAGCAAATGGGTCTATGAAGGATGAGGTGAATCATAAAAATGAAGGGAAAAGGGTGAGTGTTGCACTTAGGAGTCTGTGGAGACAAAGAACTTTGTCCGTGGAAGCAAAGAGGGGAATGTATGAGAGTATAGTTGCACCAACACTTTTGTATGGGTGTGAAGCATGGGTGATGAATGTTGCAACGAGAATGAGGCTGGAGGCAGTGGAGATGTCACGTCTGAGGGCAATGAGTGGTGTGAATATAATGCAGATAATTATTAGTTTCGAAATTAGGAGAAGGTGTGGGAGTACTAAAACTATTATCCAGAGGGCTGAGGAGGGGTTGTTGAGGTGGTTCGGACATGAAGAGAGAATGGAACGAAACAGAATGACTTCGAGAGTGTATAAATCTGTAGTGGAGGAAAGACAGGGTAGGGGTCGGAGAAGGACGGGTTTGGCGGAGGGGTAAAGGAGGTTTTGTGTGCGAGGGGCTTGGACTTCCAGCAAGCATGCATTAGCGTATTTGATAGGAGTGAATGGAGACGAATGGTTTTTAATACTTGACGTGCTGTTGGAGTGTGAGCAAAGTAACATTTATGAAAGGATTCAGGGAAACCGGCAGGCCGGACTCGAGTCCTGGAGACTGGAAATACAGTGTCCATACTCTGAAGGTGAGTGATGCACTTAGGAGTCTGTGGAGACGACGAACTTTGTCCGTGGAAGGAAAGAGGGGAATGTATGAGAGTATAGTTATTCCACACTCTTATACGGGTGTGAATATTGCAACAAGGAGAAGGCTCGAGGCAGTGAAGATGTCATGTCTTATTGCAATGTGTGGTGTGAATATAATGCAGAGAATTCATAGTTTGGAAATTAGGAGGGGGTGTGGGATTACCAAAACTATTATCGAGAGGGTTGAGGAGGGGTTGTTGAGATGGTTCAGGCATGTAAAGAGTGTGGAACAAAATAATGTCTTCGAGAGTGTATAAATATGTAGTGGAGGGATGATGGGATAGGGGTCAGCCTAGGAAATTTGGAGGGAGGGGGTAAAGGAAGTTTTTGTATGCAAGGGGCTTGGACTACCAGCAGGCATGCGTGAGCATGTTGATAGGAGGGAATGTAGACAAATGGTTAAGACTTGACATGCTGTTGGAGTGTGAGCAAGGTAACATTTGTGAAGGGATTCAGGGAAACCACCAGGCCCATGATGCTCTGTATCTCCTCACACGATGTCTTACTATGCCAAGATTCACTTACTTCCTGAGTTGTGCACCCTCTTTTGACAACCCAACACTCGACAAATATGACGCACACCTGAGATCAACGTTTAAGAAGGCCCTGAACCTGTCACTAGAGGATCGGCAATGGGATCAGGCAACCCTGCCAGTGCGACTGGGAGGTATAGGGGTGAGCAAAGCAACGCATGTAGCTTTACCTGTTTTTTTGTCTTTGTGTTTGGCTTCCAGTGCATTAGTCAAGAAGATTGTTCCCGAATGCTTGAGATGGGGTAGGAGCTCAAGACCCCAGGTTTACCGAAGCAGTGATGCGGTGGGATACCCTTGCAGATTCCTCCAGTAGACCAGCTCCTCCCAAAGAGCACAGTCCCACTGGGACAAACCAATCATGGAAAAAATCGCCAACACATTGCTCACCAACTCTTCAGGAAAGGACAAAGCTCGTCTCTTAGCGGTGAAGGCACCACACTCAGATTTCCTTCTAGCTGTTCCCAATTCCTCCCTGGGCACTCAACTCGACCCACAGGCCATTTGGATTGGTGTTGCGCTTTGCCTAGCCGCCCCCATCCTCATCAAACATAAGTGTATTTGCAGCAGGGCGACGGCTGATCAATTCGGACTTCATGGTCTCGTGTGTCACACGAGGAGGGCAATAACATCATAAAGAGAAGCCTCGCCACAGCCCGCTGCCCAGCTCAACAGGAACCCCAAGTGCAGAGGTCTGACGGAAATCGTATTGATGGAGCCACTATGCTACCCTGGAAGGATGGAAAGCAGATTGCCTGGGACTGGCACCTGCACCGCCACATTGGCAGACACCTACTTGCCATACTCCGTAGCTGAACGGGGTGGAGCTGCCAGCCATAGGGAGGCCTAGAAGACCCGCAAATATGAAGACCTTCCTCCTTGCTATAACTTCATCCCAATAGGGTCGGAGACATTTGGAGAATGGAGCAAGTGTGCTCTAAAGTTCCTCAAAGAGCTGGGAGAAAAACTCATTGAAACCAAGGACCACAGGGGCGACAGATTCGGTTTCAGTAGACTCAGTGTTTGCGATCAGCAGAGAGGAGTAAATTCCTGCAGCATTTCTAGGCAGCGATCCACCCATGGGATGAGGGTCGACAGGTATTCAGAGATGTAGCTCTGAATTATCTATGGTTCTTGGGCGTTTTATACATATTGTAATTTTGTCAATGTATATTGTTTTTAAATAAAGCATATTATAGAATATATTAGGGGTATAGGTTAAATAATTTATCAAACAGCTTCAGGAAAACTTAGTTTTAGCTGTAAGCAAGTTTATTATTTTCTCTAGGTATATGGAGTCCAGGACAGTTTAGAGGTGGTACCTCTACTAATATATATATATGCAGAACCTCAGCAGTTTGGATTCGTGGTAATATACTGTGAGTTTGATACAGAGTTCAGGTTCGATTCTGCTTGTGGACGTAGAGACAATATATTATAATATATATATATATATATATATTATATATATATATATATATATATATATATATATATATATATATATATATATATTAGTATTTATTTATTACAGAAACATGAACACAATTAAATATTACATATAAAAAATAATGGAAATAAGTCTCTCTGTAGTTCACAATACACTAGTCTACACGGTCAACGCAGCACAGAAAATGGTTACCTTTCCACTACAATAGAAAATGCATATCATTGCAAGGAAGGGTAACTTAAGGTAATATTTATTAAATACATGACACCTTAAAAGGGCTTTTAATAATTAAGAAGCTTAATTAGACGCATCAAAGACAGAAATTTTATCTTGCCAGACTGTATTACACATATTACTATAGGAATACATTATTGAAATAAACATGACATCATGTAAATGAATGAGTGACATCATACAGGTATTTCCACCACAGAATTACTGGTACCGAGTTTCGTACAGTTAAAAATAAAATATACACTGTATTTACAGCTTTAACAATGAGTAAAACAATACTACCTACAATGTAAAAATTTAACATCTAGTGTCATGAGATGCTTTTGCTTGCCAAAAATTATGGCAATGGAAAATGTGCTTTCAAGCATATTGTCGCCAGGTCGTCATCTGGAGAAGACCCGGGCCGGAAGTACCGGCAAATCATTAATGAATCAAGCACATTGCTGGGAACTGCATGTCCGTGGTAAGACTTTCAGTTAATTCACGATAAAGCCATCGCATTAACGACTAGGTTTGTGTATGTTAAAAACTGTAAATTCAGTAAGTTTATTAGGGGGGGGAAACAGAGGAGGAACAGGTAAGGAACAAGGGATCATCAGGAAAGCACATCAGACTCCTTGACCAAGTGAATCCAAAGCCACAAATCTATTACAACGCTGTGGATTCAGTTTGAGGTCTCGGGAACACTTCTTTCAATAATCATAGTACAGGGTAGCTGTATACGCTTTCCTCTCTAGCTTAAGGCGAGACTGAATTTTAAAACCAAAGAAGCTGACTCAGTGCATAACGCATTAATATATTGTTCCAGAACTATTCTCTACTTAACTGGTGACCTTATAGCCATGATCCAAACCTGTTCTCTACTTAACTGCTGACCTTCCAACAATAATTCTCTACCTGACTGTTGACCTTATTACTGAAAGCTGCACTTGTTACCCTTGGAGTTTAGCTGGAGTACGTGTCGGGGATCAACGCCCCCGCGGTCCGGTTTGAGACCAGGTCCCTAATTTCCGAAATGTGTTTAAATGAAACTTAGTCCTGCCTCTATGATACATCAACGTCAATCATAATCAAGCCAAACTGATTCCCTATAACGTTTTAAAACACACAAATAATCTTAGCTTTTTCACTCTACAGAAACGATGCTAATGGCATTCCTAACACCCTGCTCTCTTCAATCTTACCTTTCTTATCACCATCCCAACAATAAACATTCATTTTCTTCCCATCATTATCCCCATCCCTCCCTTACCTGGAATTGAGGCTGCTATAGCGTAGGTTGATAGTCTCAGTGATCTTTTTGAGCCTGCGTGTATCGTCGTGCTGGTAGATTGCTATTAGGCGTTGAGTCATCTGATTGAACAGCTCCACCTGGTGCTTGTACTGGTGGATCTCCGCGTGAAAGCCCTGTTGGCACCACCGAAAGGGGCAAGAGAGATACATGGCGTCAGAATTAGACTGTAATGATATTGGTACAACAAAATTCTACGTTAGATACAAGAAAAAGTCAGTGTGAAAAAGCAGTGATGGGAATGCACATCCTTCACACTCATGTGCGTCCGCACACACACACACACACACACACACACACACACACACACACACACTCACACACACACACACACACACACACACACTCCACCGCCACAGAAAGCCCCCACAATTCCCCGCCAGGTCTCCCGCTCCCCCAACCCCAACGTTCTCCCCAGACCACATTATTAGAAAAGAAGTTGAAGGTTTGGTATACAAATGCGGATAAAACAAATAAATGTGAAGAGTGGCAAGATAGAATCAAAGTTATCATAGCACTTACAGAAGCAAAACTAACTGGGATAACAGACGCAATCTTCCCACTCGGATATCAGATCCTGAGGAAAGACAGAGGGAGCAGAGGGGAAAGGAGTTCCACTCCTCATTAAAAACCAATGGGGATTTGAGGAAGCGGAAGGAATGGACGAAATGGGCAAAAGGGACTATATAGTAGGTACAATTCAGTCTGGGGGACACAAGGTAGTCATTGCAGTGATGTACAATCCACCACAGAACTGCAGGAGGCCAAGCGAAGAATATGAAGAGAGCAACAGGGCAATGGTGGATACACTAGCTGAGGTGGCCAGAAGAGCCAACACGGGTAGACCAAAGCGATTTAAATCACAGGGAAACTGATTGGATAAACCTGGAGCCACATGGAGGTTTTGAAACATGGAGATGTGGGACTGGAAAACCTCAAGCATCAACATGTTAGGGACACTACCAGAGAGGTGACAATGAACCAGCAAGATTGTATCTCGTATTCACCCTGAGTAGTTTGGACATCGAGGACATTACATATGAAACGCCCCTCGGAGCTAGTGAACACGTGGTTCTGAATTTTGAATACGTAACAGAGTTACAAGTGGAAAGGGTGAGAGGAAAAGGATGGGGGAAACCAAACTACAAACGTGGGGGACTACACAGGCATGAGGAACTTCCTGCAGGAGGTTCAGTGGGAAAGAGAATTGGTAGGAAAATCAGTAAACAAAATGATGAACCACGTGACAGCAAATCAAGGAGACAGAGGAGAGGTTTGTTCCCAAGGGCAACAGAAATAATGGGAAAACCAGAACGAGCTCTTGGTTTACCCAAAGGTGTAGAGAGACAAAAACTAAGTGCACCAGAGAATGGAAAAAGTACAGAAGACCAAAGACACAGGAAAATAAAGAGATTAGTCGAAGAGCCAGAAACGAGCATGCACAGATAAAGAGGGAGGCCCAGCGACAGTACGAAAACGACATACCATCGAAAGTCGAGTCTGACCTGCAGCTGCTGTATAGCCACATCAGGAGGAAGACAACAGTCAAGGACCAGGTAATCAGGCTGAGGAAGGTAGGGAGCTCACAAGAAACGACCAAGAAGTATGTGAGGAGCTCAACATGAGATTTAAGGAAGTACTATTTACAGTGGAGACAGAAAGAACTCTGGGAAGTCAGAACAGGAGGGTACACTAACTAGGGATATACCAACAAGTGCTGGATAAGATATACACAACAGAGGAGGTGAAGAAGCTGCTAAACGAAATTGATACCCCAAAGGTGGTGGGACTGGACATCTCTCTGTGGATCCTTAGGGAGGGAGCAGAGATGCTGTGCGTGCCACTAACAACAATTTTCAACACATCCATTGCAACTGGGTAAATGCCTGAGGCATGGAAAATGGTAAATGTAGTCCCCATTTTTAAGACAGGAGACAGACACGAGGCACTAAACTACAGACCAGTGTCACTGACGTGTATAGTATGCAAAGTCATGGAGAAGATTATCATGAGAGTGGTGGAGCACCTAGAACGGAATAAGCTTATAAACGACAACCAACATGGATTCAGGGAAGGAAAATCCTGCATCTCAAACCTACTGGGGCTTTATGGCAAGGCAACTGCAGTAAGACATGAGAGAGCAGGGTGAGTAGACTTCATTTTCTTGGACTGCAAGAAGGCCATCGACACAGTTCCTCATAAGAGATTAGTGCAAAAGCTAGAGGATCAGGCACGCATAACAGGAAGGGCACTGCAATGGATCAGAGAATACCTGACAGGGAGGCAACAACGAGTTATGGTATGTGACGAGATGTCAGAGTGGGCGCCTGTGACGAGCGGGGTTCCACAGGTGTCAGTCCTAGGACCAGTGCTATTTTTGGTATATGTGAATGACATGACAGAAGGGACAGACTCAGAAGTGTCCCTGTTTGCAGATGATATGAAGCTAATGAGGAGAATTAGATCGGATGAGGATCAGGCAGGACTACGAAGAGACATGGACAGGCTGCAAGCCTGGTCCAACAACTGGCTCCTCGAATTTAACCCCACCAAATTTAAAGTCATGAAGATCGGGGAAGAGCAAAGAAGATCGCAGACAGAGAATGGGCTAGGTGGCCAAAGACTGCAAGCCTCACTCAAGGAAAAGGATCTTGGGGTGAGTATAATACCGAGCACATCTGAGGCACACATCAACCAAATAACTGCTGCAGCATATGGGCGCCTGGCAAACCTGAGAATAGCATTCCGATACCTCAGTAAGGAATCGTTCCAGCCTCTGTACACCGTATACGTCAGGCCCATACTGGATTATGCAGCACCAGTTTGGAACCCACACCTGGTCAAGCACGTCAAGAAATTAGAGAAAGTGCAAAGGTTTGCAACAAGACTAGTTCCAGAGTTAAGGGAAATGTCCTACGAAGAAAGATTAAGGGAAATCGGCCTGACGACACTGGAGGACAAGACGGTTAGGGAAGACATAACAACATATAAAATGCTGCGAGGAATTGACAAGGTGGACAGAGACAGGATGTTCCAGAGATGGGACACAGAAACAAGGTGTCAAAACTGGAAACTGAAGATTCAGACGAGTCAAAGGGATGTTAGGAAGCATTTCTTTAGTCATTGAGTTGTCAGGAAGTGGAATAGTCTGGCAAGCGAAGTAGTGGATGCAGGAACTATACACAGTTTAAAGACGAGGTATAATAAAGCTCATGGAGCAGGGAGAGAGAGTGGATCTAGCAGCGACTAATGAAGAGTCGGGGGCAGGAGCTATGACTCGACCCCTGCAACCACAAATAGGTGAGTACATACAAACATACTCAGGAACAGGAACAAGAAAAGGACGAAAGCAAAAATAAAGGTAAAGACCAAGGAGTCAAAGTACGAGTGGAGAACGTCATTCAGAACAAGTCGGAAAAGAACAAAACATAACATAGAGAAAAGTGAAAGGGAGGAAGAGGAAGCTAGGGCAGGAACAAACGAATATAAAAAAAAAAAAGAAATACGCCTAGATGAAAGAAAAGAGACAAATTCAGTAAATATAGGCAGTCAGAACATTTTCAGATACTATGCAGAAGGTATGTGCCTATATGACAGAGATTGCTGGAATAAACACAACAGAAAATGTGCGAACATGTTGAGAAAGGGAAAGTGTCGCTTTGACAAAGAGTGCAGGTACTTCCACCTAGTGATGTGCAAAGCTTCAACACAGTTCTGGGAATATGACCTGAACGGCCCAGACCATCATGTAAAAGGAATGCGGCGCTACAGAGAAAGCGATCGGACCAAAGAGGCAAAAAGAGGAAATGCTACTGATGGGACAGATGGGCAGCAGGGCCGAATACACAATCAAATGCAAAATCAGTACTGGAGAAACCAGGGGTATGTACACCAGGGGCCAAACCAGGTACTACATCATCTATGGTACCAACCAAACACACTGCAAAACAAAACACGAAGAACTCAAAAGGAACACTATATACAAAACTCAAACACTCTTCAAATCGCTAGTGCTCCCTCTTGAGAATATTGCTCATTGCTGACGGCCCCGTTCAAAGCAGGAGAAATATCTGTGATGCGTAAACAGAGATCGTTTACGCCTTACACTGAACCACTAAAGCACCTAAATTACTGAGAACTCCTTCAAGTCTTGAACATGTACTTACTGGAGCGGAAGAAAGAGAGATACATGATAATATACACCTGGAAAGTACTCGAGGGCCTGGTCCCATAATCTGCACACTGCCATAACAACAACACTGGAGTGAGAGATATGGGAGGAAGTGTAAAATAAACCCAATGTGAAGCAGGGGTGTGGTGGGGACAATAATGAAACACTGTATCAATATCCGGGGTCCCAGACTAGTCAATATCTTACCAGAAGATATCAGAAATGCGGCTGGAACAAGTGTAGAAGCCTTCAAGAGGAAACTGGACAAGTATCTTCACCACGTGCCAGATCAAACAGGTTGTGATGGATATGTGGGGCAGCGGGCCTCCAGCAGTAACAGCCTGGTTGATCAGGAAAGCACCAGACGAGCCTAGCCCATGGCCGGGCTCCGATAGTAGTGAAACTGTTGAAACTCTTCAAAGGTATAAGGTATAAGGCGTATGAAAGCACACCAAAAAGTGGATAAGAGAGAAAAAGTTGTAAAACCCGATACAAAATTATTTCTCTGACTAAAAGATCGTTCACTGCTGGTAAGAAAAGAGGAGAGATAATCAAAAGGATAGTAAAAGGATACAAGATGATAAAAAGGATTTTTTAGCACTATTAACAGGAAAAATAAAATGCCACAACTATAACATGAGAAGAATTTAATGCCAAAATAATCTTATAATTTACTTTACAGTGATAGAACAATGGAATGGGATACAAGAAGAGACTGCAAGTGGTGTGGACAGTAGAAATGCTAAAATTATATGATGCATAAAACACTGAAGACGAGACACCACAAGCATAGCATTGCTGCTGTAGGAAAATTAGGTAAACAGAGATAATTACACACACAAGAGTACACCACAAAGAAACATCCCAAATATCCGCACAATAAGCAAACAACACAGTAAAATCATTACTGAAAGAGAGCACATGCATCAAGTGGACAGGAATTGTGTCAATACTGCTTGCAAGTGGGGAAGAGAACTCTCAATGTATTTGCCTGCCAGCAATGCGCACACAAAAAGAGCTTCATGTGGGATGGGGAAGAAGCATAATCTCAAATGAAGAATGCATGCACTTACACACTACACACACACTATACACACACACTACACGCACACACACACTACAACACACACACAACACACACACACTACACACGCACACACACTACACACACACTATACACACACACACTACACACAACACTATACACACACACTACACACACACTATACACACACACACTACACACACACACACACACACACACACTACACACACACACACACACACACACACACTACACACACACACACACACTACACACACACTATACACACACACTACACACGCACACACACACTACACACACACACACACACACACACACTACACACGCCACACCACACACACACACACACACACACACACACGCACACACACACTACACACACACACACACACACACACACTACACACGCACACACACTACACACACACACACAACTTCGCACACACTACACACACTACACACACACACACACACACACACACACACACACACACACACACACACACACCACTACACACACACGAACACACACACACACACACACACACACTACACACACACACACACACACACACACACACACACACACACACACACTACACACCCACACTACACACACACACACACACACACTACAAACACACACACACACACACACTACACACCCACACTACACACACACACATACACTACACACACATACACTACACACACCACACACACAAACACACACACCACACACACAAACACACACACACACACACTACACACACACACACATACACAAACACACACTTCGCACACACTACACACACACTACACACGCACACACACACACAGACACACACACACACACACACACTCACACACACACACACACACACACACACACACACACACACACACACACTCACACACACACACACACACACACACACACACACACACACACACACACACACACACCTGGACAGGCTGGACATGTGGTCCAGAAACTGGCTTTTCGAATTCAATCCTGCCAAATGCAAAGTCATGAAGATTGGGGAGGGGCAAAGAAGACCGCAGACAGAGTATAGGCTAGGTGGACAAAGACTACAGACCTCACTCAGGGAGAAAGACCTCGGGGTGACCATAACACCAAGCACGTCACCGGAGGCACACATCAACCAAATAACTGCTGCAGCATACGGGCGCCTGGCAAACCTGAGAATAGGGTTCCGATACCTTAATAAGGAATCGTTCAAGACACTGTACACTGTGTATGTTAGGCCCATACTGGAGTATGCAGCACCAATCTGGAGCCCACACCTGGTCAAGCACGCCAAGAAGTTAGAGAAAGTACAAAGGTTTGCAACAAGGCTAGTCCCAGAGCTCAGGGGAATGTCGTACGAGGAAAGGTTGAGGGAAATCGGACTGACGACACTGGAGGACAGAAGGGTCAGGGGAGACATGATAACGACATACAAGATACTGCGGGGAATAGACAAGGTGGACAGAGATAGGATGTTCCTGAGAGGGGACACAGGAACAAGGAGTCACAACTGGAAGCTGAAGACTCAGACGAGTCACAGGGACGTTAGGAAGTATTTCTTCAGTCATAGAGTCGTCAGGAAGTGGAATAGCCTAGCAAGTGAAGTAGTGGAGGCAGGAACCATACATAGCTTTAAGAAGAGGTATGATAAAGCTCAGGAAGCAGAGAGAGAGAGAGGACCTAGTAGCAATCAGTGAAGAGGCGGCCAGGAGCTGAGTCTCGACCCTGCAACCACAATTAGGTGAGTACACACAACACACCAAAACACACACACACACACACACAACACACACACACATACATACACATGTATGCACATACAACAGGCCTAGTGTCTAATCGACATGTGCCTAGGACCAAATGGCAACTAACACACACAAACACACACACACTACACACACACACACAAACACACACCACACACACACACAAACACACACACTACACACACATACACACAAACACACACACACCACACAACACACACATTACAACAACACACACACACACACACCGTAAACATTCTTCATATACAAACAAAAACCATAACATCGGATATTTTATTAACCACATTCAAAAAAACAGCTAGCAAGAATAGCCAAAAGTGTGTAACATTCTCTGTGCCTGAAAATGTATATTAATGATAGAGATGCATTTAATATATTGCAAAAAGATGAAAAAAAATGAAATGAGAATGTTTTCCTAACTTTCTGGAAAAGTATGAATTTTAACCTGTACTATGAAATCTGTTAAAATCTGTTTACGGTTATAACTCGACAGGGTGAACAAATAACTGCAGTGTTTATCTGAGCTCACCTCTGTCGTACAAACTTACTGTGTATTCACATAACATACATGGTTAAATACCAGAACAAAAGTCTCCCCGAGACCACCGTAAACAGAAATTTTTAAAAACTTTTTTCAACCTATTAAAGTATTTAACGTAGGTAAATGTATATGCTACACAATACTTCAAATGGCTTCTTTAAGTCATATTTATTTTATTCCATTTCATGTATTCACTACAGGACTATCTCAGTAGCGTTTATGACGGGCTTTAGCAAGCCACAAATATGATAAGGATCACTGCTTGGGCGAAACGCTGTCAATAAACGTCATATATATATCTTCTTTTCTTCACATATTTTTACCTAACATTCACTGATTTTAGACACATCTCCAATGCCTTCAACGTCATGTTTGATGAAAAATTCGAAAACCACTTCACACGACTTAAGAAATCGTAATGACACGATTGCAAATAAACCATACCCCCGGCCGGGATTGAACCCGCGACAGGCTGGAGTTTTGAGACTCTATGACCGCGGGTTCAATCCCGGCCGGGGGTATGGTTGACCACTTCACACACACGTTGACACGACTTCACTTTAATATATTAATTTTATTGTAATTCACCTCATATTTTACTGACCGACACATCCATTCCCAACCATCTAAATACGTTTACCTTCCCCCCCTATTCCTTCTTAGTACCTTTATCGGCGCTAAAAAAAAAAGAACCCATTGTTTAAAACAAACTAATTTTTCCAGGCTACAGCAGTTATACTACTTCAGCTCATTTCAAAGGCCATCCCTATCTAAGGTATAACTTCCCCCTCCCCGGAATACGACACATAACAGTTAACTCACACCCAGATACGTACTTACTGCTATGTGAACAGGGGCAGCAAGTGTAAGAAAAAATGCCGATCCATGCCGAGGATCGAACCGCGGACACTCAGTATACGAGCTGAGCGCGCTACCAAAAAAGCAGCCAAAGGGATACTAAAAAAAAATTCTTAACGAGCAATATAATGAATTAGAAGCTGAGGTAGTAAATGCTGCAACTATTGCAAATTAAAAATAATGATAAAATAATTATCAAAAGCGGACACTACAAGAATAACCCAGCTACTGTAGCTACACATAGGTAATAAATAATTACAGACACACGCACACACAGGAGCTGTGAATCCACCCCTACAACCACATACAGATGAGTACACAGACACATTATCAAACATGCCAAGAAATTGGAGAAAAGTTTGCAACGAGACAAGTCCCGTAACTTTGGGGTATGTGCTATGAGGATAATAAAGGGACCTTAATCTGATGACATTAGAGGAAAGGACTTAAGGGTGATATGTTTGCGACAGAGACAACTCTTAGAGAGGCGGCAAACAATAACACAAAGGCACAACTGGAAGTTGAAAACACAGATGAGTCACGGGGATGTTAGGAAGTGTCTCCTCAGCCTCAGAGTGGTCTGGAAGTGGAACGACCTGGACAGTGGAGTGGTAGAGGCGGGATCCATACATAGTACGATAAGGCTCTCGAAGCCAGAAGTAAACCTAGTAGCGACCAGCGAAGAGGCGGGGCCAGGAGCTGATCGACACCACGTAACCACGTATAGGTGAGTATACACACATAAAACCAGGTCAAGTGCCTATCGACAAATGACTTGACAAGCCGTTACTAACACAATGCAGCAACTAAACAGATGACACTAATTTTTCTACACTAATAAGCAAAATTCCTCTCAAGGTTGACATGCCTGTTTCTTTCTCACATTAATGGACATATTACTGCATAAAATCAATATTATTTTGAAACTGAATTTTACGATGTTAAAGCAATATCAGTTTATGTACCTCCGTTTACAGAAACATTTTCTCATAAGATCAGTAATAAAATTAATTTATAATTCCCACAGATATTCCTTTTTTTAATTTGACAATCAAAGGGTGATGACATTACTTAAGCAAACCAAACGAAAACCTCTAGGTACCTCAAGGAAAGTAGGTACCCTGATACTGGCAAAGAGCTTTTGATCTAAATAACTGACGACTCTCTCTTCTCTTCTTCAAATTAAACTAAGCTGCCTCCTATTTCCCAGGCGCGGTATGACCTCTACAGGTTTAGCGCTTTTCAACAAATACAGTAAGAACAATCTACATCTAATAATTAAGAAATATAAAATGAAGTGTCCAAATGTAGGGTATATATACATTGTCGCCTCACCTTCTGTTCCCTAATTTGTTGGTCGAGAACGTCTGCGGTACGAGCCACGGGAGCCATCCTCTCCAGCCTGGCCTCCATCCTGGCCAGCCACGACTCCAACTCGGCTCGCTTGGCATCGAACTTGTGGGTGTCTGTGTACATAGCGTCCAGCTGAGTCTTGCGTGCCAACACCACGCTGTTCGTTTCATCCCAATGCTCCCGCAGCTTCGAAACTGTCACCAAGAGAAGATAAATTTTTAATAAGGTATCAAAAATGTGAAATGCGTGTCTGTGGGTAAAATTTAAGTTAAAACGTTCGGTGCATTGTCAATGTTTGTTAAAAGACTGAAAAGATTTTGACATTTAGGAGCATTTGCAATGTAGGAGCATATTTAAATAATAGCTACTCCTCAACGAAACCAAAGAACCGTTTTCTGTCGCTGACTATACTGGTTTTCTTTGAGTCTCTTCAACGTTTACGGAATGGGAAACTAGTATATTTTACAGTATACTAAGAATACGAATTTATACATTAAAAATATCTACAGTGTGCATTAATTGTTCATCTGAGTTCGTAATAATTATTAACGAAAACCAATGTCAACGCTCTCACAAAAAAAAAAAAAAAATAAAGTGAAGAAAGAAGAAAATGTTATAAATTACGAACACACTTTATTAAACATGTCGGTGGGGGGAGGGGGAAGGAAGAAGAAAAAATAGTTAAGGAAAAAAATATCAGAGACTTATCACTTGAGGTAATCTATGTTCTTTATCATAAAGGAGGACGAGCAGTTCGTCAACACAACTCATAAAATTTTCCTTCTACAACAACAGAGGGTATGTGTGGTGTGTTTGTCTTCTCATATAACTACACATGTCGAGCACCAAGTCTGCTCACACATCCAAGGAGAACATGTGTGCTTCAGTTGTCTGCCCACAAATCCACAGTGGACACATGTGGTACAGCTGGTCGTGGTCTACCCATAAACTAAATAGTACATGTGTGGTAAAGTTGGTCTGCACACAAAGCTACAGAGGACACGTGTGGTATGTCTGCTCACACTGCTACAAAGGACACGTGTAGTACAGCTGTTCTGTTCATACAACTATAAAAGACATGTGTGTTGCACCAAGTCCGTTCGCACAGTTATAGAGGATGTGTGTGGTACAGCTGGTGTGCTCGCACAGCTACAGAGGACACGTGTGGTACAGATGGTCTGCTCACACAACTGTTGAGGGTACGTGTGGTACAGACTGCTCTCACAGCTGTAGAGGGCACGTGTGGTACAGATGGTCTGCTCACACAACTGTTGAGGGTACGTGTGGTACAGACTGTCTGCTCACACAGCTGTAGAGGGCACGTGTGGTACAGATGGTCTGATCATACAGCTGTAGAGGGAACGTGTAGTACAGATAGTCTGATCACACAGGTGTAGAGGGCACGTGTGGTACTGGTCTGCTTACACAGCTGTAGAGGGCACGTGTGGTACAGATAGTGTGCTCACACAGCTACTGAGGACACGTGCAGCTTCTCAGTTCACACTTTAGGAAGAAATGGCTCTAAACCACCAGTCTCGTTATTCTGAAACAATCTAAGCAGTGTTGATTATCTACTCTCCAACAAGGTCACTACAACATCGATATCTCTAAAATGCAATTACAAAAAAGGTCCCATCATGGCTAACCACTACGAGTGATTCAATTCCATCCATTTTTCGTAAAAAAAAAAAAAAATATATGGGCAAGAACACGTTACAAAAATGGAGGGTTAAGACAACAAGGAAAGCCACGAGGGCTCTACTAAAACAAAATCCGTTCAACACAGCTTTAATGCCAATTAAGCCGAAATTAGCAAAAGTTCAGAACCTATGTTTATCGACAAAAATACCCATGATGGGAGGGGTTGAATCTAATGATTGCCTAGGGTCCGTGAGTCTAATGACTGCTTAGCGGGGGTGAGTTTAATGACTGCATAGGGTCCTCGAGTCTGAAGACTGCCTAACGGGGATGAGTTTAATGACTGCCTAGTAACCGTGACTCTGAAGACTGCCTAGCGACGGCGAGCATTGACTGCCCAGAATTGAACACTAGTGAGCATGTCTAAAGCACAGATGCCCCGAACTTCAGACTACCCACATGGACTTACTACATACACACACAGTTTAATAACCCTCATGTAGTCAATATATATACCTAACTAACCTAGTACAGTTGTCATAAAATGTTTCATCGCCACTGATACTCAAGACCTCCAATACAAACAACAAATCCTATGAGTTGCTACACCAGTCATACAATATAACAAAAGAATCCTGTCTACCACCGTCTCTACTTTTTTATGTTCACTTTCTTATCATACACACGATTTATCTAATGCAAACACTAATACTGTAAACTCACAATTTCTTCAGTATCCGCCTCATGACAAAAGTGGAGAATTCTTTTGTTATATTGTATGACATGCTGGTGTAACAACTCAGAGGATTTACTGTTTGTCAATGGAGGTCTTGAGTATCAGTGGCGATGAAGCATGTTATGATAACATTCGAAATAAAAACTATTTCATTATACTCATGCGACAATAGCATCCATACACTCACATGTATTCATATTACTAACCTACAGGAGATAGGGGCTCAGTTAAAGAACAAACAAGAATTGCAACACAAACAGTCAACCATGACATGTTCGAGATCCGTACAACACGCGAATTTCTTATTACACACACAAAAAAAAAATAAGAAAAACGTAAACCAACAGAAAACGTGTAGTTCATGCTTAGTCCACAATAAATTATTAATAAAACGTGCAACAAAAGTAATCCAGAACAAGTGAGAAATATCATACAGTTAGTACAAAAGAACAAGGCATACCACCTGCACATTCTAACAATATGGATGGCACTACAACTTAAAAGAACATTATAATCCTTTAACATAGTCACGAACCTTACTGTTTTTACAAAGAAAAGCATAAATAAAACCAAGATTGAGATTAAAAACTTGAATGAAGTTATAGGTCTCAAATTACTGGCAGTGCACAATACCGACAAATTAATGAATATGACATATGCAACACCTGGATAATAAAGATACCCAATTGTTGCACACACACACGTGTGTCTTATTCGTCGAGGTTAGGTCTGCTGAAGATTAGATTCAACTTGATATATTTCGGTCGCTGCGCGATCCGAGGATTCCTGCGCAATCTCTGTATTCCATAACCTCAGTCACATGTGTGCCTTTGCACGCGATTGGAATAGTGCATAGTCCGACATAAGTTGATAATGCAGTTAAATGCTAGCTATATTACGATCACTGTGTTATCTGATAAAGATATCCCCGTATTCCATAACCCAAGTCCCCAGCGCCCTTAATGTACGCGACTGGAATTGTGTAGAGCCTGACATAAGTTGATAATGCCGATAAATAAGAGCACTGGAGATCTGACGGGAACCAGAGGCGGCATTCACAAGTAATCACAAGGAAACTAATATCCAAATTTCAATAAAAGTGGCAAATTAAGTTATTACACAGCCCAAATTTAATTCAATTTTTTCAAAAAAAAAAAAAAAAAAAAGACTAATATCCTATGTAAGTGACGAAGTACTTAAGCTTCCTGGAAGATTAGTGTACATAATATACAAATGTTTAACAATGGTCTTGATATAGGTGCATAAAAAATTAGGTTGATTTAACCTAGGATAACCATATAAAGTTAAACACTGTGACTTATTTCCGATCAAAAAGGGACATTTTCCAATTATTTCACAAACTAGTTTGTTGAATAAAATTGGTACATGATAATTTCCACCAGCTAACATCACGAGATTGTTTCATCTGAGGAGAACACATCAACACTAAAAGTTTAAATCTGACCAGCAGATGTATTTTCCTGTTATTACACAGAATAAAAAAAATATGCCTCCACAGCCTAACCCCATGAAACGATCCGTCCATATCATACGATGCATCAGTCTTTGAAGACTGATGCCGTTAACAATTGTTACATTTTAATCAGAGGAAAGTGCAAACCTGTAAAATTTACATACTTCTGTGAAATTAGAAACACTGAAATTCGATCGAAGTAAGGGGGAAGAAAAGTCCAGTTCCTTGAACCAAGAGCCCCTCACCACCATTAAGCCAAAATAATGCACTCAGGTAAAATAATACTATACCATGTCGAGATTAAAAGTAGCAAAATGGCATCTACAGACGATCAGAAGAGCTCGTCTCAACCTACCACGTGGAAACAAAAACCTGGAAACGGCCTACGTAATACTGTGCACAGGTCACCCACGTATGTAAATAGCCCCATCAATTTTGTCCAAGACACACAAGCGTTGAAAATTTGAAGCCGACCGAATATGGCGTTCACGAGTAATAAACGAAAATTTGTGAGAAAACAAATAATTAATGTTGCTGAAAATGCTCCTAAAAATAGGAATGTCTGTACTCATCAACTTAAAAAAAAAATAAAAACAGTATTTTTTTACTTTATTTTCCAATTACTTTTCAGATTTAAAATTCTCGACAATCGTGGAAGAAAAAATATTTCACTTAAACTTCAAAATATCCAATTTGATAAAATTGGCAAAAATGGTAATTTGCACCTCTACAACCCAAAATTACAACAAATACACAACATTTAGGGCTTGAAGCCAATCCAAAAAAAGTGTTCACGAGACATTACATGGAAAGCAATTTGCTAAATAAAATGTGCAAAAACTCACACAGCTGAAAGTGAGTAAAAAATCTGTATTTTTCTAAAGCCCACCAATGGTAAGACTTTGAACCCGATTATTAAAGAAATTCTCCAATATAATTAACCAAATTCCAACAATTCTAACTTTTTTAACCACTTCAAAAAAATATCAAATTCGCATCTAAACTTACTGGTTATAATACTTCTTATAGAATACATCGTCAGTAACACCTTGAAGCCACTCAGAAGAATAATTCTTTAGTTAAGGAATAAAAATGAATATGACGATATTCAATAAAACTGGAAAATTGGGGTTTAAGACTGCCACCCAATGGTAGCGTGAACCTTATGTTCAGGAAACCACATCAATGGTAGCGTGAACCTTGTGTTCAGGAAACCACATCAATGGTAGCGTGAACCTTGTGTTCAGGAAACCTCACCAATGATAGCGTGAACCTTGTGTTCAGGAAACCTCACCAATGGTAGCGTGAACACCTTAGATGTTCAGGAAACCACATCAATGGTAGCG